AGATAGTTTGTACTTAACTGGCATCTATCCACTGTTTCACTGAATGCTTGAGTCGAAGTGATTGTAAGTAGGAAATATTTGTCTTAAAACTGCCCCACAACTTTACATTCTGCCAGCAGTGGGGGCCTTTTAACACTGTCAAAAAAGATTTTCAGCTACTCATTTTGGCTCCAGCTACCCTTTAAACATGTTCTGAATAATAATAATAATAATAATGGGAACATTTTTTATTTTTCGCCATAAAAAACATACAATAGATAATAATAATAATAATAATATTAATAATAATAACAATAACAACAACATCAACAATAATAGAAATAATTATAATAGTTACTTATTATTGAATTAATGATTGAGTGAACGAACGGAGGATAATTTTTTATTCATCCTCCAAAAGCCCGCTAAATTATTTACGATTGGCCATTACTTCGCGTCGTTATCATTATCTTTCAATTTTTAAGTTTTTTATTATAATATATAAATAATAATAATAATTATTATTATTATAGTTTTATATTATACAATACTATAATTATAATTATTATTACTAGTATTATTATTTATAATCGGGAACGCAAGTCCGATATTTACATTACAAAGACCACTAGCCTACTGCCTTTACAATATGTACACATTATGTATTATAAAAAAATGTATTATTCAAAATTCATTTACACACACACACACATTATCATCTTCTTTTTCCTCTTTTTTTTATCATCATCTTCTTCCTCTTCTTCCTCTTCATCATCATCTTCTTCTTCCTCTTCTTTTCCATCATTATCATCTTCTTCCTCTTCATCATCGTCTTTTTTCTCATTATCATCATCATCTTCTTCTTCTTCATCATTATCATCTTCTTCCTCTTCTTCTCCATCATTATCATCTTCTTCCTCTTCTGCCTCCCCCTCTCCATCATCTTCCTCTTCCTCTTCTTCCACACCGTGACAGCGTTTTGGTATCCAAGCTTTTAGGATGCCTTAAATATTTTAGCAGTCATTTGTGGGAGATGAACGTTTGATGTGTTAGTTTGTTTTCCAGTCTGGGTGTGTGTATTTTATGTGTTTGTGTGTGTGCGCGCGTGTATTCGTGTGTGTGTAAGCGTGTGTGTGTGTACGTGACTGTGCGTGTGTGTGTTTGTGTGTGTTGTCGCATTTGTGTGTTCGTCATTTCGTAGAAGAATATAACTATTAGAAAAAAATTATAATTGGAAAAAAATCAGAGGAAGAGAAGAAAGAAGCGGAGGAAGAAAGAAATGTATGTGAGAAATGATACAGAGAGAAAAAGAAAAAAGTGAGAGAAAGAGAGAGAGAGAGAGAGAGAGAGAGAGAGAGTAATTAATTAGCCACCAAGTACAACTGCTGTTAATGACTTTT